CCCCCACCCCACCGCCCGCCTCAATACCGAAAGCCGCAAAGGCAGCGCGGAGGTGGGAGCTGCTGGGCGCCCCGGGGTCTCGTCCGGGGCCGTCCTGCGAGCAGCTGGGAAGCTTTCGGTCAGAATCAGGGCAATACAGGCGTTAGCGAGAAATACAGGACTGGCCTGTGAGATGAGACACGTGGTAAATATCCATCTTGGCCACACGCGTTACCTGCCCTGAGCGAACAGGCTGTTTTTTTAAAAGGTGTGTTTTGGCCCTGGCTACTGCAAGGCTTGAAGTAAATCTTTCCTTAATCAGAGCTGTACTTGTACACATTTCAAAGCGTGCAGGACAGCATGTGGCTGCCTGTAACAAAAGACAAATAAAACCACCCCATCTGTCAGCTGCCTAAAACATGTTAAAGGGGAGAGGAAATAGAGAAGCACAAATCTCCAAGTCAGGCTATTTTATGTATTTAAGTGACCTTCACAGTCAGCGTAAGATGAAATTTAATACTAAAGCTGACGAGCTTTTGATGAACAAAGTTGCCTTGCTTTGTGGAGGATTCTTCTGATGAAAAATTACTTTGGCGGTTTACAATAATTTAGGCAAAAGGAGAATGGATCCTGTTAGCAATACCATTCAAATGCTTTCTGGCAGATGTTTTTCCAAGATCCAATGGGCCTGACTACTAAAAAGGGACAGTGAAAAATGAAGGCTGGAGGTTTGTCTGCAATCTGAACATGTGCCTGCGCCAAAATCCCCATTCCCTTAAAATCAAAAAGCTTTTCTTCCAAAGCGCAGCCTGCCTTTACAAAAAAGTTAACAGCTGGGGGTATGTTTTACACCAGCGCCCTTTAGTCACACAAGCCCAGGAGATACGTGTTACTCAAGTTTGTCTGCCTGCAGCAACAGATTAAAAAGGAAAATAAGCCTGTTACACCAGTATCACCCCAAAAGTCTGTGTTTTCCGACAGATGTTTTCCCAATAACATTGCCATGACAGACCACTCCATAAAATCTCCCCAAACAAGCAACACGTTTATTGGCGAGTTCTGCAAATGGATTTCCAGTTCCACACTCAGGTCTCCGTGTCTCCTAGCAGATTTCTTTTAAAAACCATTTTGGGTAACATTCCATTTTCAAACCGATAAAATTACTTCACATTTAAAAATAAAACAAAGGGTAGCCATTTTCAATACAAATTACAGGAGAACTCATCCCGGTGGCGTATCAGGCTGCCGGCCCCTCGGCTCCACTATCGGAGGCAGCAGGCTGGGGTGGGAGGCTCTCCCATGTGGAGTTCAATTAAAAGGACTAGGGCATGTGCTGTTATTACCAGTCAAAGCCCTGTTGTTGTACATTCGTCACAGGAAAAGATAAAACAGTTCGTCTTCAACCAACCGGTACTTTTTTCCCCCCTTCTTCTAAAGCTAAGTTATACTGAAAGTTAGGGGGAAATGTGGCTTCAACATTCAGCTAATTTATCACACACAAAGATTTCTACTGAAGAGCACATCCAGGTTGAAATACACATTTGATGTCTGTCATGAGGCTAATGCTTATGGGGTGCAAGATGCAAGCTACTTAAAAAATAATAAACATCACTTCTTGGTGAGCAAAGTTTTTGTTTTTTTTTTAAGCTTTTTGGACCAACTGTTGCTGGTTTTTTTTCTCTCCTGAATTGAGCCAGAAGAGACAGTTTACACCACTACCACAAGTAAAAAGATGTCCAGTGGCAATCACACACCTTATCATCAGTTAATAAGATGTTGTGTTGAACACGTTTATTTTCATTTTTAAAAACTCTTAATTCATTTTGTAGGCCCCAGAGGCTTTGTACACCAGAAATTACACAAGTCAATCACAGAGAATTGTAAATTGGTATCCACAACTATTTTGAGGTATTCCACAAGAAACCTGGCTCTGCACCTGAATGTTCCTCTCAAAACCCCCAAAAATAGAACCCCCAAACATTAGCTGGAGTGGAAATGTCTTCTAAGGGATTCCTTTAATCCCCATGTCCCAACACATTTGATCAGCAAGAATATCCTTGTTTCGCCAGGGTTATGAAAACCTTCATCCTTCTCCCCGAATATTAATTTCAGTACTTCATTGCTAGCTTTTGGGGTGCATTCAGAAGAGATGAAGAGGAAGGCGTTTTCTTCTAGCCAAACAAGAGAAACACATTCAGTTACTGGTTTTGGTTCATTTAATTTGTGGAGGTGCTCTAAGAAGAGACCAGCAATCCCCTTACTTTGAAAATAGCAGCGTTTTATAATCTCACCTCCAATTTATGAGGTTAGGCAAAGATCTGGACCAAAAAGTCCAAAGACCAGGTTAAGAAAAAATGGTCTCCTCAATCTGGATTTGGTTTAATAGAGTCATATCTATTGAGGCAGCGAACAGCAACAGAAGATTACTCCTGTCAAACGGGAGATGCTATTTTACAGTGTGGACAGATTTTTAAGGGACTGGTCATCTACATTACTAGCAAGCTTTCTATAAGGGCTGGAGGGGAAAAGACAGCTTCATTCTTCCAATAACTGCTACTCTTGAGTAGTACATTCAGAATCATTTCCAATAAACCAGAGCTGTAGTGCTAGCCATGTATTAATATATAAACTGCCTGCAACACTTTAATTGGTTAACGTTCTTTTTCATGAAAAGTGGAAAACCTTTACAAGGACCTTTAAGCAAAATAATTTGCTATATTTCCATTTGTAGAAAAACATAGGTAGCAATATTTTCTAAAGTGCTTCTTTACTTATCAGATACTTTTTAACTGTATTTTGTAGCGGCATAGTTTCCTAATAGTTCATGGACCAGTAGTTAGTTTCTGATGTAAAAAACCCATTACATGCTTTCTTTAAACAAATAGCACTTGCTTTGACAAATGCAGTGAAGTGATGTAAGTGCAAAATCCACCATTCTTAAAACATGGCCTTATGCTGGTTTATTAATGCAACTTTACATCCTTTAGAAGTAGTTTGCTTCAATTCCAAGAAAAGGGATTAAATAATACAAATGAAACATGTAATTCAATGAAGCTATTGCCTATTTACCCTGAAATAAAATAGTCTTATGATTGAACTGGTGCAAAAATCCCTCCAAACACCTTTGTTTTATTGGCAAAGTCATTTAAGGTCACTTTTGCTTCCAAGACCATCTTCTTCCATGGTTTCCACTGAAGGAGTTTTGCTTT